GTGTGTGTGTGTGTGTGTGTGTGTGTGTGTGTGTGTGTGTGTGTGTGCGCGAGCATTATTGGTTTGTGTATTAAGTGAAATGAGAATTAGTAAAGTTCTATTGTACATTGTCTATGGATAAATATTCCAAAGACAGCTCATTTGACTTCTTGATTGGAAATGCAGACAAATAATTAACTCTTAGCAAAGTTTTATGTGAAATGGGAAACAGAAATGAACAAGAAATACTGAGGAATCAAGCATATAATCCATTGGGAAGAGGATTGGTGATTATGTGGTAGATGATAATGCTGTCTTGCAAGTGTTTTGCATGTGTTTTAGTGTGCGCATGCACACACACACAGATTTGTGCATCTGGACTGGAGAGAGAGAGAAAAAGGGACTGCCAGAAATTTTCCTACACCTACCACAAGTTGAAACATGTTCAGTGGCCCAGTTTTATTTTTATCCTTGTACATTTCTCGTAGAGAGCTGAAAAAGGCAGATGTTTTTTCTCATCTTCCCCATCTACCTTCATTTACATCCATCTGCCCTTTCTAGAAAAGTTCATAGCAGTGTAACTGTAAAGTATATTTTAGCTCTTTCACAGTTTTAAAATGTCTTGGTCTTAATTAAAATATCTAATGAAATTCTCAGAATGTCTAGAAATCACTACTGCTTGAACTAGTCAACTTGAAACATTTACTATATTGGCTTCTCTGACACAACAGATCCTTTTTTTTATATGTATTATACACAACATTTGATTCTTTCCCAATATATAAAGCATTAATATGGTTTATCATCCAATAATTAATGGAAGATATTTTAGCATCATATATTTTAGAAGTGCGTGTGCGTGTCTGAACACACTTTTTTGTTTTTTTTAAACTATCTACTTTTTGCCACCTATGGTTTCTGATCAGAGTGTACAGTATAAATTATGTCTCTAAAGGCTCAACTGTTATGAACAAGTAGCATTAAACTCAAAATCACAAGCCAGCAGAGGAACATTGATGACACTAAGACAACTCTGGGTTCTAGATCTCATGCCAGACAGGAGGCTGGTCCGGTGCCATAATCAAGATCAAAGAGACCCTTGCCATGCCATAGTGTAGTGGGATTTAGTTACTGTACTTTGTTGTTTGTTGGTAATCAAGGTTACCAAGGACTGTAAACAAATCAGAAAAAATGCTACAGATCAAAAGCAGAAAGGAAGTTGGGCCTTAGTTGCCAAAAGCAGACACAGAGCAAACATTTTAAACTTCTGTCCACAAGGTGTCCTTCAGCACACTCCTTGTGAACTGTGAGGATACTGTCTGAAGCTACCACATCTTGTGGATGAACATGAGTCTGATAATGAGCTCTCCTCTCACAAGTAAGCTACAACTAAAAATGTTAAGGATTTTTAAAAATCTTTGGATCTAAAATTTAAAACTTTGCGACAAAACAAAAATCTGCTTTCAAAATGTTTTTTGAAATATGTTTCTCTCTTTTAAAGCTATAGACACTTCAAATCTCTTAATACTGCCACAAACACTTATCATTAATTCCATTATCATCAGAAAAACAATATTTCTACAACAAAAACCAGTTTCTCATGTTAGACTTGTGATTTGAAATATCTTCTATGAGATGTATATAAGCCATGCTCCTTCAGTACTAAAGTGAGTTAAGACACTTTCACCCCACTTAGTGTGTGATAGGATGAACACAATGCTTGCGTGCTAAGCTAACCAGGTGCCAGCATTTAGAAGAGCAGACAGCTGCCTCCTTGCAAACAACAAGCTGCAGAATCTTCAAATGGTCCTGTCCCATATTGTCTGCAAGGAAAGCACTGCTGTGTTTTGATTGGTGCATTATATGTAGATGTTAAAGAATTGCTTTTTATACTCTGCTTGAACTCAAGTTTGTTCAAAAGGCCATTTAAATGACAATGTTCACCTAACCCAGGAAGGAAACACCATTGGAACTGACCAGGGTCCTAATGAATTACTGCTGGGGCAGGCTGCTGTATGCCTTCTATAAACACATCCATGAGAAGTTGAAAAGCTTCAACACTTTCATGCTTCATCTACCCCCACAGAAGCCATTCCACTAGATACTTTATGGGCAGCACCGACCTCCCTGCCATTTCAGCATATCCATCTTTGTCAATGGACTGGGTCACAGAGCACATCCTGACAAGTCATGGCTCCCAGACAAAAAACAGTATTCCTTAGATTCTCATTTTGATATTTAAAAAAAAATTGAGGAGCATTTACACTCCTTTGTTCGGGGTGGGGGCAGTGAGGTAACCAATAACACATTAGTTGTGAGAAAAGGGGATGCCCTTAAATAAATCTAATAAATTGTATGTTTTTTTCACCCCTGGTTCAATCTATTACAGCATATTTTCATAATAATTGTAAATGTAAATCTGGAATGGTCGTTCAGTTAGCATTTTGTTTTGAAACATACAAACACTTTTATTAAATTGACTGGAAGAAAACTGCAGCTGAACCAAGACCTGCAGCTTGCGATTTATTTTTTAAAAGTGGTAAAGTGAGAGGAAATGCTTTGCTATTATATCCTCCTTAATTATCTAAGATAGAAATAAAACACAGCTTCAGTGAATTATCTATAAAAGGGCAAGTGCATGAGGTTAGCGAGGTGTATATTTAAAGCAGTTTATAATAGACTTGGTCAAAACAGCTCGGAATCCAGTACTAATCCCTTTGAAGAGTAGCCTTATTATAGAAAGTACTGCATTAAGGATCTTATGCCACAGGTAATGGATTCTGTGAACTCCTCATAATTTATCCTTTTCCAGATTCAGTAAAAACAACAGGATAAATTGTGTGTTGATGGTCCCAAACTTCTAACTGATATTTTATACTAAGAAGTGCGGGGGTGGGGGAGAGTGTGTTAAGAAGATTGAGGCAGAAGGAAATTTCCTGAAAAACTGTTTTAAAATTGTTATCTTAAAAAGATTAGTCACATGTAACATTGGAAAATACATCATTTTATTCTTCATACGTTTTTCATTAATTGCTAACGTGGAGAAAAGAGCTAGCTGCCAGATAAAAATATACAGCTGTCTTCATGTAAATCTAACAACTCCAAATGTTAAGAGCAGAAGCAATTCATTTTAAAAAGATACTGCTGTATATCGTGAGTTCATAGTGAAAAATGTCCTTCAAAAAAAAAAAAAAAAAATCCCTGGGCAAGGTCCAAGAATAAACAAAAGTATGATGTATCATGGAATCTCTTGCCATTTCAATAACAGCTTTAAGGAGGAATTACTGAATTAGCAGAGCTACGAAATGCATGAAAAGGAAAAATAACCCACAAAAAACAACCCCCCCCCCAATAAACTAACTAACCAACCAACCAAACAAACAAACCCCACCCAAGTCTTCACATACAACACTGTAGTATTCCTAGTCCCTTAGGACATAGGTTACAAAATACAGATCTAACCATGAGAGCTTTAATATTTCATAAACCATGTACTGTATGTTTTTGTCAATAAATTTGCTCAGTGCTCACATCTTTCCTCAAGATAAAGGTGCAATCATTTCCCAAAGTTAACAGTGAAGACAACTCAGTCGCAAAATCCATAGGTCCATGTTCACATGCACATGCACACACAGACACAGCCCAATTCTTACCTCTACCCTTTGCAAATCCGGAATAACTATTAGAGTTACCCCGGGTGCCACATCAGTGTAAGATCAGAATCAAGCTCCCTTTATCTTCCCTTCTCCCTCCCCCTATAAGGGTCCGATCCTTCAAACACTTATGCACAAAAATCCAGGTTACTAAAATTGAGGGCAGAAGAGCAAAACAAAACCTTAAAATCAGTCGGAAAAAGAAATGTTTAGAGCCAAATTAATAAAGGTACTGTGATGAAAGTGACCGATGCGATCTGCAACTATTTCACTATGTTGACAAGTGACTAGTCAAACCTATAAATGAAGTACTATAGCTTTAATAGATGGGGATAATCAGATTGGCTCTTTCATTCAGAGCTGCGGAATAAAAATCAGAGGAATCAAAAGTTCCTTTTGTTTCTTACTCTATGTGCTGCTCAGCACAAGCCAAGTACAAAGGGGAACTTTGGTAAACAAAAAAAAAGGATGTTCTGTATTGTGACCCTCTCTAGTAAAATAATCCCAATTGGATTTATTTTATAAGAAAGAATTGGAAAAACTTTTCAACAAATTACAAAAAATTACAACTCAGATCGATCCCAAACTGCATATTCATGTCAGCAACCCAGAATGAATATGGAAATGTGTTAATGTATGCATCCGAAGAAGTGGGTTGTAGCCCACGAAAGCTTATGCTCTAATAAATTTGTTAGTCTCTAAGGTGCCACAAGTACTCCTGTTCTTTTTGCGGATACAGACTAACACGGCTGCTACTCTGAAACCTGTTAATCACAGAGTTACAGCTTCATCTCCCAAACCACAAAAATATTTAACTAAAAAAAAAAAACCCCAATTTTTTTTTTTTTTTTTTTGCTTTTCTGGTTTTTTAAGCTTCCTTTTCCCCTTCAGATTTCTAGAGGATAACCTTTCTCCCCCCACCTTGATGTTTAGCCTTAACCTGTTGCCAAACCACTATGCATTCTAGCCTGCCCTGTAGGGCCGAATTCTGCTGCATCGGTTTATTTCAGTTGAGAATCTGGCCCTATTTCTATACACAGGATTGAACAAGCGAATGCATCTTCACAGTACTTGTTTTGGGAGGACACGTTTGATAGTTAGACAACAATGAATTTACATCCCTTTTTAGCTCTGTGGTCAGTATATTTAGCCATAGTAGTAACACAGGTAATAGCTGCTCCACCACAAATCGCAGGACAAGGAGAAATTAAGGGTTGTCCCTAGGATTATTACCCTGTTGAACATCACACCTAGCTATAATAGCTAGTGTATATGGAGTAAACACACAACCAATTGCTCATCCAGGCTCATTTTTTCCAGCCCTTCTGAAACAACAACAACAAAGAATGTACCCACTCCAGAGATAAGGATACTTGCATGTCTAGCTACAAGTAAAGGTATTGCCCCAGATAAACAATAGTTAATTTAAGGCATGCAGACACAGGATAGTATTATGTGAATCTTGCAATAGTTTTATCATCACTTCATTAATAGGTAGGCCAGAGTTTTGAGAATTTAGGAAGTTGCAAATAAAGCAAGTTCATTAAAAGAATAAAGTATCAGAGGGGTAGCCGTGTTAGTCTAGATCTGTAAAAAGCAACAAAGAGTCCTGTGGCTGTTAGTCTATAAGGTGCCACAGGACTATTTGTCGCTTTTTAAAAGAATAAAGCAAGTTCATAAAAGAAGACAAAAATGATTAAAACACATTTCCAAGAATTATATTTTTTTCCTTTTCAAAGCTATTGTACAACTGAGGCACTTTAATCTCTAGGTCAGAGGCAAGGGATGGACTGGCCAACAGCAGTCTAGAAACTGGCACACAGGGCGACCCACACTTTAAACATGCTTATGCAGTTGCCTGAAGATTTAACTGTTTGCTAATTGGTACAGAAACCAATTTTAGGATGTGTGGCTTAGCCATGGAAGTGATTGATTATTTGTTTATAGTTCCTTAAAGAATTATGAGGATTTGTCTAAAATGCCAGTGGCATTTTTTTAAGGTGGTTAGAGTGTGGAAGCATAATGAACCGGTCACTTTCCAAAGCACTGTGATTTGGCTGACGGGCTCCAACCTTCCCCAGCAGATGGCTGCTTACCTCTTTGCAGTTCAATGTATATTTGAAAGTCAAGTTCCTTGGCAAGGACGCCTCTGCCTGAGTTACGGTGCTTCCATCATCGCTGGGATCCCAGGGGTGATCATTTACAATGTATGTGCACTTCTCTTCAAAATCAGCCTCTGTCCACAGAGTCATGTCAGCATCCTCCATGTCCATTTTCATTGCCCACTCTGTCCCTTTCACCAGCGTTTGGGAACTCACAACGTCCGAGCTACACTGTGCGGCAGCCTGGAAAAGAAGAAAAAAATCTTTTAATCCTCATTGTCCTTCAGTTTCTGTGGTTTCCTTTGAGACAGAGTGACTAATACAGCAGTCTGTGGCACTTTAAAAGCGTATGCAGTACAGTTGGTACAGCTGAGTAATAGCCAAAAAAAAAAAAAAAAAAAGGCAGCATAAAACTATGTTGCCTTTACTGAAGCAATGTCTTAAAATGCCAGCCTTGGTAATAATAATAATAATAATAATAATTAATAAGGGAACCAAAAGAATGGGGGGAAATCCCTAAGATCGGCGTCTGCATTACCTTTCTCAGATCCTTTTCTTAAACACCTCACAGCAGAAATTCTGCAAGGCCAATACTGTGCCCAAGAATATCTGGGGTCATGGCCGCGAGACCACTCAGTGCCTGTGGAAAAGCTGCCTCAGAAAAAGTGTCACAAACAAGGAGAGGAAGAGGAAGGAGCTGCTGTCTGCGTCTGAGCGAAGCTAAAAATGGAAAGCGCATGTTGGAAGAGCGGAACCCAGCCTAGCCTTTTCCAAATGGAGAAGCCTGAACTTTCCCACCGGCTTCCAACACACAAACAACTCTCAAAACAACCTGGCTCCCTTCTGACGTCCTCTTATCCTTTGGCATGGAAGGTTGAAAAAGCCGACATCCTGCCAACAGTGTTGCAGCAACAGCTTTTCACAACTCACTGGAACACATTCACTTGGACCAAAACAAAACAAAAAAATCCTTATGTTTCTTTGTCTTGATGACATCTCACAGAATTATATGCTTAAGGCACTAGATAGAATCCTTGTGAGAAAATTCCATCTAGTCCTTGACTGCCTATTTCTATTTAGGACAGACAATATCAAATTCTCAGATAGGTATTACAACATCATCTTTCTGCAAGATAAGTAGAACTAAAGAATGCAGTCGTTGTTTAAACTGGTAGTTGTAAATGGTTTTCAAATCCAGGATCAAAAACTCATTTTTCCTTTAAAAATATTCAACCATTATGGAATGTCCTCCCTTCACTCCTCTACCTCCCTCCCCCAACCCAAAAATAATTAAAAAAAAAAGATTACAAGATAAAAAGAAACATTCTGGGAGGAAAGGACAGAGAACTTATCCCTGTCAATCTCTGACTCCTAGTTAAAATAAAACATCCAGTAACCACACCAAGACTTTCTTTCTGGATAATGTAGATTCATTTAAAAAAATGTTCTTTACAAAGTTTACCCCATTTATGCTGCATCACAACATTTAATTTTTGACATATTTTTACAATAATGCCTCCCACTAGCTTTATAGAGGGCAAGAAACTGGTTCTTTAAGTTTTGGTCTAATTTATAGCCAAATCAAATCATCAGCTAAATATTTACGGACTGTGAATATCAAGATGAAAATAAAGACTAATATCGAAACTCCAGTGAACTGACAGTTACATCTAGAAGTGAAAGGGTTAATATCTAGGTCTTCCAAATCAGCGCAGAAAAGGTTAACAAGATATGTTTGCTATTTATTCTAAGTGTTTAGATTAATATATTAACACAGCACTAAAAGGTCAATAATAGATCCAAGGGGGAAAAAGGAATCAAGTTCCTTACCAAGGTAGAGTCCACAAATGTTTCCAAACAGAAGCTCCACGTTTAAGATAAGTCTCGCTCATATCTACCGAGTAAACATTTCTTCTTCCTTCCACTGGGTATGTTAGAGTAAGACTGACTCACACCTAGAGAGTTAACTCCTTTTGCTTGTGCCTCTCTCTCTCTTTTTCTGTCAGACAGGTGCTGCTGCACTTACTGCTTTTGCCTCTCACTGGAGGGCTGAGTGTTACAATACTTTCAGTCTCTGTGTTAACTAAGCAGCCTCCCTGTTTCAGATTTCCAATTAGCCACTCATTTGATTTACTCACAGTCAGGGCTGCCAAAAGCAGGGGGTGGGGCTATACCTGTAACTCATACGGAGATTAGCCAAGGGGAATTTTTTTCTTTCTGACAACATTTCACAGAGTTTTTCCTCTTACTGCATATGGATATTAGCATTCCCTTGGAGCCAGCCTTACTTCCACATGAAACACACATATGACTTTAGTATTATTATGGCTCTCTCATCTAGTTTCTACTAGAAATTTACCCCACTATTTTGAACTGTGAGGTCTGAAGGACACAGCTAATTTTCCCATCTAGATTAATTAAAAAAGAGATGCCATTAAACTAGCAATTAAAAAGTCCTTTCCAGGTTAGAGAATATAAAAATATCATTTAAAGCTTCCAACAAATAAATCTAAACAACTGTGGTATTTTATTTGATACAATTCAGGAGTCTCACGATTTAAATTATTTCTTACAAAACATAAGGGCTACAACAAGTTAATTCTATGTTTAAATCTCTTTACATGGATATTTAGTGAGGAAGTTAGGAAAAATACATCAATTTTAAAAAAAAGATAGCCGCTTCCTCCATTCTAAGTAATAAATGGGGAAGCTTATTAAATAGCTACAAAACAAAACATAGTAAAAAAAATGCATGCACCAAATTTTAAGTACAATATGTAAAAAAAATGCAGACAGTATTCAAGTGGAGTGTGCTGCTAGTGGAGGAAGGATTGGTATAGTAATTAGTGGGCCCTGAGCCCTTGTCAATTTTTTCCTTCTCCCCAAGTCAGTGTGTGACTGAAGGAAGGACATCCTGTGATGATGGCATACAATGTCCTGTTTGTTTATTATTAAGAGCATTCCTGCTTCTCATTACAAAACAACCAGATGCCTTACTTCCTTCAAGTGGTCCTGTCTCTTCAGTGAGGAATCCTCCAGATTGGAGAAACAATGATGCACAATTCCATTTATAGTCAGCCACCCTATTACAAACACCAGTTGGCTCACTGAAGGGCAAGTCTCCTACTTTTCCTTCTTGCTTCACATCTGCAGACATATTTATAATTTCTTTCCTCTTACTAAGGATGCAGCATGTTTTACTTCCCCCTCCCCCCACAAACACATATTTATATGTTTAGGCCTATGCGGATGTTTCATATTTCTTTTCAGAAAAATACTATTTTGTGAAATCTCAAGTGTGTACACACCTCCCTCTAACGCTCACCCCACCTCCCAGTTCTGCTGATAAAAAGCAGGGTGGAAAGGATTATTTGCCTCTCTAGGTTTTGCAACGCTGAGAATAGTATATCTGTGTAAAGACCTTCCGCATGTTCTAATGCAGAAAGGCTCATGCCACTGAATGTAAGTAGGGCAACTGCTGTGAACGAGTGTCCTGGCTTAACTGCTACCAGTGTGTAATTCCACAAGAGAAGTGGCAAGGGCACTGGTGCTGATGGGTATAAATGTAATTGGATATATAGGGCATAACCAAGGCACATCCAAAATGAGGTCTAGGAAAGCTCTGAAATAGGAAGAGGAGAAATCCGGCCTACTTGATTGGGTTAATTAACTGATGCTGAGTCACACCACATAGAGCAGAAAAACAATGTAGTCATACTGAAGTGGTTCTTTGCACACGCACACACACGCACACAAAATAGTCTCACTCTGAGATGCAGATGTTTCAGTGTTTTCACTTCCTTATCAGCATAAAAAAAACCCCTGTGTGTTCCAAGGTAACCCACACACAATTCAAGGGCTGATCAACTTAGTTAAAGAAAACTGGGGACAGGTAAGTCTGCCTCAAGGAAATGAGGCTACTTTTTCAGTGAGGAAGAAGAAGGAGAGAGATTGAATCAAACCAAATATGTATTTGGATGACAGGAGGATGCCACCAATCCAAATCAGTTTTAATCCACCTTCAGAGATGATGGAGCAGGCTGGAATTTATGGAGCGTACGCACTTCAAATAGTTTTGTGGCACTGAGCAAAGCAACCCTGAAATTAGCTCCAGGTGTTTTAGCAGAGCTAAGAAAGGCTTGAGAGCAGAACTACAGTAGTTTAGGAGATGGGATTTCACTTTCATGTAGGTCTTGTTCTAATGATGGGGAATAAAACTAAATAAGCTTCTCATGTTAAGGAAAGCAGAGATGGACATAAAGACGAACAGTAAAGATTCTGTATTAAAGTAGCAAGCATGAGGAAACTTTACCATGAAAAAAAAATAGACACTGACCTTCTGACCTTCCTCCCTACAGAGACGCATAAAAAGACATCTTACTCGACTGGCAGTTTGCTGCTTTTGTATAGAAATCGTTCATAGCAGTAGCTGCTGCTATTGTCTGGAATTTGCAATCTCAAAATGTTCATTTCAAAAAGAACATTTTTAGTCATATTTTCATTTTTTCCCCTCTCGCTCATAGAAAACCTCAATTACCTTATTAATCAGCATTTCTCAGGCAGATCTCTCTTGCAGCAGCTCTGAGCCTGGCAACAAATCATGAATGGCCCTAACAGCTCTGATCTCAGAAATCCCCATCCATTTCCTTTGATGCTATCACCACTTCAGCTCAACAACAAACTGATGCTACTCAGCTTCAGCTGCTGCGTTATTTTCTCTATGCCTGTAAGATTGTGTAAGTGTAGAGGAAAGAAGGAGGGAGGGAGAATGAGTCTGAGAAGCTGGCTCCAGTGGAATAAACTTCTTTAGAAAGTTGAAGGGGAGATAAAAATGCACACAAGAGATTAAAGCACAGTCATTTTCACATCTTCCCCTTCCTTACCCAAACAAGGTCAGGGGCAGATTGACCACATCAATAGAGTAATAACCAGACCCAACCCCATTTCCCACTTCCTGTATGTAGACATCTTCACACAGGTAAACATTTGGGGACCAACTGTGGTCATTACTCTGAAGAAAATAACTGGGGTCTTTGGACCACTACACATTTCTTATAAGTTGCTTCAGAAGTAAGGCCCAAAGAAGGATTTTTTCCACGTTCGAGTTGCTGTTCCTCTTAGGTTTTCCCACTCAGTTTTACCTGCAGTTTTGAAAACCTGACCAGAAGCTGATACAAAGGAAAGAGAAGTGG